TTATCGTGATGACCGAAATGACACATTAGGGCAAAGTTAATTCTATTAGAACATTTTTTTGGGGCGGATTTTGATGCATACAAATTATATTTGGGATCTTGATAGCAAAGCTAACTATCACTATCAGTAGGCTTAGTAGAAAAAGGCAGAAGGCAAAAGATAGAAAGTAGTGCTAATACACTGGGATGCGGATGCAGTAAATTACAATCATAAAAAGGTGTTTATTCGACTGTCTACAAGGAAAAATCCTTCATTTTTAGGATGAGATGATAGAGAAAGCATACTTTTCATGTGCCCACAAAGTCTTCAAATTGAGTGCTCCATTTATAATATTGAGAAATTCGTGAATACGATTGCACATATATCTTTGAGAGTATGGTGAAAAGAGACCATAATAGGCTCAAAGCATGCGCTGTCAAGTTCATATCATTTTTGAAGAAGTACAAAATGGCTCCAAGGCCCAAGGAAGACATTCCAAAAATTCGAACTTATGTAAGACAAAGGCTGAGTGAAATTGAGATCAACTTATTTGAAAAGATCGGTAGGAGCGAAGAAGTTTGATAGGAAGGAAATAAAAGGAGAGCCTTAAACTGGATACTTTAATATTTCACTCTCCAAAATTTTAATTAATTTAGAGTTTTGTTCACACCGCCGATGAAAAGGTTTATAAGCCTCGCAAATTTTCTCAGGTATCCTATAGAAGATACAAATGCGGTTTGATCAATGTAAGATTCTCGGCCGACTTAAGCTTGGTTTTGTCTAACTGTCTTTGTTTTTTACACTGTCGTGTGCAAAAATGACAATAGAAAGATGTCTTAAGCGTTTACTTAATGACAGCAAATGAAGTTTGGAGATTAGCCTCGTTTACCCGTAAACACACCCCAACTAGCAAAAAAAATTTAAGAGGTCGGTTTCTCAAATTGCTGAAGTCTGCGAGTTAACACTTTATCGAAAACAAGACCTCGCCACCCTATAGGAGTACGTCCAGATAATCGAAATATTAAAAAAATACAAAACATGCTTTTACTATAAAGACAAAGAATGCATGCTTTAATAAGCATTTAATTGAATATAACTTAAAATTAATAATTTTACTTCATTAGCGCAGTGAGAAGTAAATTAAAAAAGCTGACGTAAAACCACACCCATTCACTGTTACTGAAACCAAATTTCATTTATCATTCAATTTTTGTGTGTTTCAAAAATAGAAAATTTGCCAAAATAACATTTTCGAGTTTTATAACTTCTTTACCGTAAAGGTGGATTACCATAGCGACGATAGAGGTGAAATCGTTTCTATATATGAAAATACGAAGACATATCGGTCTGCAATTGGCACGGTAAATTCACGCGAGAGCGCAGTTCACTTACTGATGGATTTCCTGAAATATTGCCAGTCACAGTTAAAAAAAGACGTTGAAACGAAGCGAAAAAAAATTTCAGAGGATAACCAAATGACATATAATTTCATTTGTGGCAATAATTATATTAGGAGGAGACTAAAAATGCAGAAGATTGTGCAGGTTATGATCCGCATATAAAAAATATATATGTTTTGGAAAGCGGATAATTTTATAATTACGCAAGAGAGAATGATGTTAATTGATGAATTGAAAAATTAATTTGAATGTAACGAGGAATGTCAAGGGACACACGACAATCTATGCTGAAAGCACCAAAATTTTTGTCAACTATTGCATTGGATAGGTGTAGTAGACTTTTTTAGTTTTTGTTGAATATAGGTGGAAATTTTTATTGTGCACATATTGTACGGTTCTTGTCTTATTGTGCGTTTCTTTGACCGATTTTGGCAAATTCTAATATCAATCTTCCAAAGATTTGCAAAATTTCAAGCTGATGTCGTAATTTTGCGATACGGAGAATGTTCACCACGGATATTACGCTGTTGAGCGGACATGCCTAGATTTATTCCGAGTTCGATGTTGATTGTATATATTTTGCGGAGGTGAAGCCTTCTTCTAGGTTTTGCACAAAAGTGGTGTTTTCACTAAAATCATTTTTAATCAGTTTTGCGAAAATAATGACTTGGCCAATTTAACCAGTTTCCGAACTTAACAATAATCTTCTCAACCGTGTAACAAACGTTCAAACAACATACAGATACATATAATCACCATAGATATTCGAGCTGATCAAATATATGCATATATATATATATATATATATATATATATATATATATATAAATATGCATATGTACCTTTCAAGGTGGGCCATAATGTGCATTTTTATACTTTAGAAAATACTCGACAGTTCTAACATCTGCGATTGTTATAACCAACGAAACTATATTCTTGATTATTACATATGGTAAGGAGCAACGCTTTTCCAGACACAATGGTAAATCGAAAGTATACATATATTAAATTTTAGAATAAATTCTCCTTGCTTTGAAAACTTCAACAAAACACTGGCCACGTAGTCTGACTAAACTTAAGAATTCATTATACATGTCAAGTAATTGCCGAATGCGACGTACGCAATGATAAACTCGGCATAATTCTTCTCATGCCTCCCGCCACTACTAAATGAAACTACTGTTAAGTAAAACACTAGAAGTAAATGAAATCAATTTAAATGAACTATTAAATATTTTAAAAAAAAATTGTTCGACTGATATACATCCAAGTGATGTAAACGCTAAAACTCTGTAGTATGTATTTATTATATATATATATATATATATATATATATGTTAAAAGAGCACAATTGACAACTTATTTAAATGAATTTCTTACATTTATGTTAGACCCAATCATTCTAAAAATATATTGGTGCCCTCGAAGAAAAGTGAAAAATGTTTTCAATTTATTTCAAAAACTACGCAATAAGTGTTAATATTGAGAAACTGAAAAGTTCCAATTTAAAAAATAAAGGAATATAAAACAAACATTTACATTAATGCCTACTAAATACAAATTGCTTTAAGACGGTTAAGCCATACAGAAAAAATTTAATTCGACGGTGAAAAACAATTACGATTATCGCTTTATACTAAATATTTTTTTTAACGTTTATATATGTGTATATATAACACTTCTCCGGTGTTGCCCGAGAAATTTACAACAACGTGTTGAATGGCTTCCATCCTTTTTAGTACATGTACAGACAAAACTAAGAAACACGAGAAATAACGAAAAAATCTTTTGAAAGTAAATGTAGAATATTTATCTTAGATAAAATAAAATATTGAATTAGTTGTAGCTTTTTAGCAATGTTGAAGCATTTTTCGAAGTGTACCAGCAACACTTTCTTTCTCAGATAAACAATACGAATAAAAAGAAAATAAAACGAGTGAGAAAAAGACAACTTAAACCAGACACTGCTCTTTTGTAATACTTCTATGTATGGTGCTCTCGTTCTGAACTGCATAATTTTGCTTAATCGTTACTTATCCATAAATTCACTTTGCAATCATTATAAGAGAGTTACAATGATCTTAATAAAAATGCATAAAATTTAAAGGCAAAACAAAACAAAAAGTAGATGGCTTAAGAGAAACCGAAGAATAGAGCTGCAATATGTTTAAAAAAATTCACCACCAAGTTATTTTATTTTTGCAAAAATTATTGCGAAATATGAATGAATAATAAGAAATAATAATAGATATTGATCATTTCAAAACTAAAGAGAAAAATAATACTAGCAAGTAGCTTTGATTTCTTTCCACTATTCATAGTTTAGCTCTCTTTAAATTTCAAAGTGCCAGAAGAGAGCGTTTTTGCTTGAGATTTCTCTATGCAAATTTTTAAGAGATTTTATTTTTGTAAAATTTCCATTTCTCTCTTATCTTTGGACGACAAAGAAATTTGTCTTCTTATCGAAAATAGAATTATTAAAGAGAGACGAGAAAAAATTTTAAAATTCTACACGGAAATGAAAGCAGAAACATGAGCATATTGAATTTGATGATGGTATAAATGAAAAAATACAGGTAAAGGCAAAAAATTGCGTTCACTTATTAACTGCAATGTCTCGCAGAAAGTCTATAAACATTAAGTTCTCTTATATTTGTGAACGTAATGCTGTAATTTTATTCCTTTGTTGGTGAAATATTACAATTTTCGAAATATCAACTTTATAGGCGAAGTCCTCATATCTCAGAGAATTCCATCGGCAGGAAGTCTTAACGGGGGAAAGCACCTAATAAACTTCAAATACCGTGAGATATATATTTTTACTTATTATCTTCATCCACGGGTTAAAGTGTAGCTATACGCAAAAGACAAATATTCCAAAAACTAATTTTACATTTCTCCTGCTGCTAATATCATTGGCGGCCTAAAAAATTACTAGTAGTAATTTAACTTAAAATTGTTTTGAAAGCAATCTACTAACTGGCGACTTTTCAAAATTCGTAGACTTTTGCGCATCACTGCACTTTCCTTATACGAGCGTGTAGAAGTGATTTTTTTGAGCTTGGGCAAATTATATATTACCTTGGCTTAATCGAGTATGATGCAAAAAAAAGAGAATGAGAGAGAAAGAGCGAAAAAAGATAAATTCTGAGGAAATCTAATATTTCGTCATATTTTAAATATGTAAAAATGTAAACTCCTACGTAATGTTCATTACGCTAATTAAAAATTATCAAAAATTTTGGAATGACGTAGTTGTACATTATGAACAAAGTATGTGTTTGCATACTCCTTTCGCTAGGTTAACACTTTTTTTGGAATTTTTTTTTTAATGATACACATTTTTAGTAAACTTGTACATGACAAACGTATCAACACTACTACATAATGGACACAAAGTGTTTATGTATGCACTGCACAAAACGTAGGAGACCTGAACTGCAGATATAACACAAAATGGTAGACTTTATATTACGTCGGGTATTTTTTATATTACTTTTCATTTCTTGTACGCTTACAGTAAAGTCAACACAAATCTAGAAAAAATGGCTGATGACAGAGCTGCTTAACCAAAAAAGGAAGAGTTCTTTTTTGTTTAGTGCACAAGTTTTGAGTACTTACTACTAGTTGTTGCCGTTGTATTTAAACTGTATTAATCCCAATAATCACAGTGTCAGCGAGGTATCCCCAATTTTTTTTATTATTAATTTTCTCAAATCTTTTAACACGAAAAATTTGTTCTACAATTAAAAAAAAGAAATTTTTTGTAGTGAACTTCGATTTTCATTTTCTATTCTGTCGTATATTTCTTTATTTTTGTCAATTTTTTTAATAAAATTCGTGTTTTTTTTTATTCTTTAATTCATCTATACTTTTAAATCGTCGGAACTTCTTTAACGCGATTGCACTCAATATTTATTGCAATTTTTGTTACACTTTAAATCTGGCTCTCAGTTAAACACTCCAAAACTAATTATCCTTTCTTACACTACTCAAAACTGTGATTCATCATTTGACGTACTCGTCTTCAAAATACAATAATAAAAAAGATTTTGTTAACCGAAATTTCTTTCTTCAAATTGTTTTGCTTTTCACTTTTGATTTTCAAAAATTGGATATTAGAAAAAACTTTTTCTAGTTACATTGATTGCTCTTTTTAAAAAATTCTGTTTTTATTTAATTCTCTATGTGGCCTAACCTTTTAATTTCTTTTTGAGATTTTTTTCTGCTCTTCTACTTTTACACTTTCAACTGTGAAAGAGCTGATATTTTTTGCATTGTCTTATGTAAGTTATTCAAAGTTTTATGTAGTTGGTGATTATTTTTGATGTAATTTATTATTTACTCCTCTTTTATAATACTAAGAAAAACAACCAAAATCTTAACGTGGATTTGATCCTTCCAAAATATTGTGAAGTCTCCAAGCACAAGTTTTATACTAAAATTGAAAAATCATAAGAAAACTTTTTGGCTCGTTCATTTGATGCACATTCGCTTGTGTAAGAGCTATTTTGTCAGAATTATACACAAAGACCGTGTGGAATTCACCGCAATTCGCTAAAATAAATGAGCAGTTTTACGGTATGGTGAAATAATTTCACTCAATTTACAGAGCAAGCGTTTTGCTCTTTTTTAATAAATTTTAGTAAAGATTAGTTTTAACATCATTCCACTTTTGTTACGAAATCCACCACAGAAAACGTAGTACACAAACACACATGCCATTGAACATATGTATCTAAAAAATAATTAATCACAAGTTCTATGGTAAATGGCATAAGTATGCACATACGTTCTATATGAATACAACGTATTTCTATGTAAATATGTAAGTAACACGCTACGCTCGGTTTTTAAGTGAATAAACTATTTGGATAAAACTACAATAAGTCACAAAAGTCTGCACTCTAAAAGTATATGGAGTGAATTACGTAGTTGTTATATTCAATTTAAACAAAACTGGTTTAACATAAATTTCGGCACCTTTATTTACCTCACAGCTGTTTTGCCGCAAATATCTAGGCGATAGATTTCTTTTTGTAAACAATAGCTTAGTATGAGTACTCCCATTTCTTGCATCTACTTTTTTGGGCTAATTATATCTTCTTATCCTTTCGTTACTTTACATAAATTGTTAACGGAAGAAAACGTAGGCGACACCGTAATGCCATGAGTAGAGTACGATGCAAAGTGTATCCTCTAATATGCTCATTGCTAAAAAAACAATTAAGAAAGCCATTAATGACAATTCTATTACTCTCCATTTGCCGTCATTGTTCAGACATTTTCTTCGTAATTGCAAATAATTGGAGAACTATATTTTTCCTTATCAACAATTTTTGATGTCCTCAAATTCATGATAAACAAAAAAGTAGAAAAGTCATTCACGATCATATGGCCTCAATTAAAAAAAATATAAAACAAAGTTTAAATTTCAATATATGAAAAAACAAAACAACTGTGTGTGATCAAATAAAAAATTTTTCGTATACGCCTAAGAAAAACGCAAAGAAAGCGACTGAGAAAATAACAAAATTACCACTAATATTTTTTTTTGGAGAAATACAAAGTCCACCTTAAGAAAAAGTACCGCACACAATTGAAACCAACACAACGTATACGTGTACATAACTTCATACATGTACAAATGATAATTGATAAAAAGAAACCATATTGAAAGACCAATAAAAAACCATAGAAAAAAACCTGATTGTGGTTGAGCTTGTGAAGGCAAACAACATGGAGAATGCAGAAAATGCAATCAAAGTGAGAGAAGTAAATTACTTTTAAAAAATTTAATAAAAATAAAAGGAGAAAAGGTTAAACGAGTAAGAGAGTAGTCATAGTTGCTTTATGATGACGTGGTGAATTTCAACAATCGCTACTTCTGAGAGAAGAAATAAGCGTTTACATAAGAACCATAAGAAAAATGTGAAAACTTAAACTAAAAGCAGAAAAAAAACACTACAAAGGCTAGAAAAAAACATCAGGAAGTGTTATTGTTAACGCACTACGTTGTTAACATATGGTAGTGATATATATAATTCAAATAAAAGACAATGAAAAGCTACTAGCTGGAACACAAGAATGTGGTTTTAAGCAAAAAAATTTTTATGAAATCAATTTGTAAACTCTATAAAACATTAAAAAGTATCTTTATATTTCCCTTCGTCACTTCGTATATATATGAAAACGAACCATGAAAGCGATTACGCGGGTATTTTATTTTGCTCGAATTTATTGTCGAAATTCGCCATTCAAAATGAAACACTTAATATGCGTCAATATGCTAAAATAAATTGGAGAGTAAAAAATGCCTTAATATGACAAATGCACACTTGCACACATTTGAGTATTAGCACTGAAAAATTTTTTGTGAATGTGAACACACGTATGCGTAAAAATTTTTATGGATATATGTTGGCTGCTCGTCTAGAAGGAAAGTTAACAGACAGACAATTTCATATATGCGCTAATACTGCGAGCATCACATTGTAAGCGACTCAACAAACTGCGCCTTAGACGTGAAAAATAAAAAAAACAAACTTGCGAATTCACCACAAAGAAAGACAAACAAAGCATTAATGCAAAATTTATAACAGAGACATTGTCGCAACATTTTTTTTAATGAAATACTATTTTTCTAATACGTATAATTTAAAAACAAAAACGACAGTAAATATTTTTCCATTTGAATTCTAATTAAATAAAATTATTTTATTAAACTTTAGTTGGTTATAGCACCCTACGGACTTCTATTCTCTGCCTAAGATAAGCGAGCTAAAAAACGTTCGCAAGAGTAAAGTGGTGATTTTATATACATAAAGAGTAACCTCTCAAATAAATTTCCTTCTTTACAGTTGCGCTTAAACTTACTCAATAATAAAATTAATACAAAACAAAGAAAATAAAGAGAATTTCTTCTCACATCTATCAATTCGATTTCTGCAACAAATTGCAAATAGCAAGAGAAAGTAAGGAAAATAAAGTAACTACTTCCAAAATTTTTTTTGATGTAAAACGAAATAAGTATTATTATTTACATTTTTTTCTCGATTGTTTTTCTGAAATGCATACATAACATTATTCAATTTTCCTCAGACTTCTCACCCGAAAGAAATCATTGTCATCTAACACAATGGCGTCATTCAGAAATGTCTCTGCGCTATGTTGCTGCAAGAAATAAAGAGGCAAACATCTGGAATTTCACTATATATAATTGAATCACTAAATGCATCTGTTTAGATATTATTCATTGGAGCCACTAATTGTGATGATGTGATTAAACTATCATTTGATAATTTGTATAGAAGAACACAATTTTACATAAACATTTTAAAATTTTTTGCATGCCGCTTAAGTTGTACTTTAAAATAAATGGACATTTTTTGAATATTTATGTCAAGCTCTTATCTTTTATCTTTTTGCTCATGCATGATGGAGTATGTGTTTTTCAAAAAAGAAGAGATATGGCCGCTAATGGGTTAAATATCACCAACTATATATCAACATCCATATAATTGGCTACGTACACAACATATTGCAATACGAACGTATAGTATTCCGCCCACAATTTTTTCCTTCTGTAATTTTGTGACTAACCACGAATGTGTTGGAGAATTGTGTGGAAGTAACATCGAAAGTATCGTATATTCGCATAGCGTATCTTAATGAATTTTCGCTCTGGTTTGTAACCAAATATCTCTACACATGGGATTTTTCGACATAATTATAATTTATTTAAGAGGTAGTTCCTTTCAACAAAAGTTAGTGCTGGGAACAAAAAAAAGGTGAATAATTCTTGAGTTATGTCTCCACAAGGTTTGGATATATAAGTGATTATGAACAAAATTTCAGTAGCTTTTGATTTTTATTTGGAGAACCAATGTCCTCCCGAATAAAGTGAAGGTTATGCTATTTAATGACGGAACCGCTATATTATAATTCACAGATTAAGCACTGAGATATCTAGAGATTTCTAGACATAAGAGCTCCTAACAATGAAGTTTATGTAAATATATATAAAGATGAATATAAAGAGGAAAGGCACTCGTCTCGTGTTTTTCAAAAATTAAGAGATATGGCCGCTAATGGGTTAAATATCACCAACTTTATTTTGGAGTCTCGTTTTGGACTATTTTTAGGCCTTGAGTAACAGTCCAAGGAGAAAGCCTTTCGGTCAAAGAAAAGTGCCTCTCAATAAAAAGAAAGATTCTCCAAGCCAAAGAAAGGTGTGGAAACCAACAACAAATTCTAAATTGCAATCGCATTTGCGAGCTGAGTTGTAACAGTCGAAGATCCAGTGCCATGGCTGTTATAGGTTCACATTTTATATATTAAGGCAAAGCATAATTAGTGTTGGGTTCGCGCAATATATATCAAAAACAGAGAACAATTTAACTGCTTACTCAGAGAAAACCTTGTTGTCATAGTCAAATTTTAATTTAAAGTCAATGTTACTTATATAAATGATATCAGGATCAGGAGGGAGTCTTAACTTGTAAGTTTTTTACTACCAGGTGGCTCTAGGTGTCCGTTTAAATTTATTTCAAGAGAACAATTTTAATCAAAAAATATTTTGGGAATTTTAGGCATCATTTGCAAACATTCTACGCCATTAGTACAGGAATCTCGCACAATATGAAATTCTTGGGTGAGTTTAAGCTACATAAACCCATGCAAGTATTAAATTGTAGCTTAACAAGTAAAAACATTATAATGGACCATGGCTCACCGTTAAATACCCTACATAAACCTCCAGTTGCTCCTATAACTTTTCAAATTAAGGCATTATATAGGCGTTATATAACAACTTCTCAAATAAAGGCGTTCTAAAGGAATTTGTCAAAAAAGTGAACTCATTTTCAATAACATTCGTCCTTGGGCCCAAACGCAATACTGTACCAAAATTCGTCAAAATATCTCAAAAATTTCGACTTTAATGTTCAACATAAAAAATGAATGCGGGGGAGGCGGACAGACAAGCTTAGATCGACTCAGAAAGTGATTCTAAATCTGTCGATAATAAATAAAAAGACGGGTCTAACGCAAGTGGCATACGTCCGCACAAACTTAATACATATTTACACTTCAAGTAGAGT